AACTACAGAAATAAGCTACATCAAAAGCAAGCACAAATGCTGTCCAAAATTGGTGTTTTTCACTATCTCATTTTTTAACCCAAAACAGAGGTGGCAGCTCTCTCTCTTTTGTCCCCCTAGGCTGACCTAAATAAATTGACCTAGGTTCCTTACGAATTTTTGAATTCGGGTCCAACTATTGGGCTGACCCAGTTGGCCCATTACACACCAAAATACGAAATAAAAAAAAAACTAAAATAAAAACTATGCTGAAGTTGGTCCATGTGGCAAGTCCATGTGGCAGTGCTCCTAGTCCAATAAGTGCTTCCAAGTCCTCTACAAAATGATTATGAAATTAATTAGGCTAATAAATCCAATTAAATGAAGTTCTAGATTAATAGGCCAATAAACCTCAAAACAATAAAATATGGCAAGAGAAAACAATTAGGCACTAACAATATTTAATAGGAGATTACATAGGTATGAAAATGCACGAAAATTATGATTTATCAAGGCGCATGCGAGGAAGAATGACTAAGGGAGAGCGTTGCATTTTTTAAATAGTTACAATACTTTTAAGATCGGTTAACTTTTAACTGATCTTAAAAGTAATTTTAAGATCGGTTCTTCTATGACTGATCTTAAAAGTTATGTCTAAGACAACTTTTAAGATCGGCTATTAAAAGAACCGATCTTGTACACCACTTTTAAGATCAGTTCTTTTGTAACCAATCTTAAAAGTTGTGTCAGACATACCTTTTAAGATCAGTCATAAAATAACCAATCTTAAAAGTATTTTTAAGATCAATTAAAATTTAACTGATCTTAAAGTGTTCACATTATTTAAAAAATTGTCACCGCGCCACTATTAAGATCGATTACCTCTTAACCGATCTTAAAACCCCGATTTTAAAACTAATTTTTGCACTAGTGTAATTACAAGGGAAAAGGAAAAAGACCCTAGAAAAGGAATAAGTTAAAAATTAAAAAAATAAATTGTCCCCATTGATACAAGGTCTTAGATTCGTCAATCTATATAACTAAAATAAATTATTTAAGTCTCTAAACATACCATTTTATTCCAATTATTATAGTTACATAAGATTTACCCTTTTAATTCTTATAAAATAAAATAGAGGCTAAATTAAAGAGCATAAAAGATATACATGAGAACTAAAATGAAATGTTTTTATTATTGAGACTAAAGGATAAAATTTATCAAATTATAAGGATCAAAGTATAATTAAACATTTTTTTGATTGTGCAATAGTCCCAAAATAAACTATGGTGGGTTAGCAAGTTGGATTTGGTTGACCCACCAACCCTTTAAAAAATTATAAATCATTTTCATTCTATTTTTCTTAATTTTTTTCAAATATTTTGATCAATTATAATTAAAAAGGAGAAAATCTTATAAAACTAATATTTAATGAATACAATAAGTCTATTAATAATAATAAAATAAGTTCACTAACAACTTTAAAATAATTAAGTTCACAACACAGCCACAAATTAATAAGTATATTAACAACAATAAAATAAATATACAATACATTAACAAATAAGTTTTAATAAGAAAATGAATTACCAATAAAACACTATAAGTCAATGTCAATAAATTAAAGTCGAGAATAAAATGAGATAACTTAATAGATCAATTTAACAAGTGAATCCCACTCAACTTATCATTTAAATTGTTGATTTACCAAGTTGTATGAGTTGAGCTATGTAAATTGGAAGTTAAAAAATACAATTCAAACCCAATTTACCTTATTGAATTATATAAGTCAATTTGATAGGTTAAACCCATTTTTGACACTTTTTATGTAAACTATTTAAAAAGAAAATGATTTTATGTTGTTTTCAAGAACACTATTTGTTTTAGCCTTTATATATACACATTGCGCGGGAACTAGAGTTTTATCATGGATATTGTTTCATTTTAGGCCCACTTTTAAGGATGGTATCATCGATGCTACTGCTGATGACCTATTCAAAAAAGTTTATGGAATGCCAGCATTCCAATACGCAGACAAAGATCCAACATTCAACCAGCTTTTCAACAAGGCAATGGATGAAATAAGCACCTTGGACATGAAAGCCATTTTCCAAGTGTATAAAGGATTTGAAGGAATATCAACACTGGTTAATGTAGGAGGAGGAACCGGGAAAACGCTAGATATGATAATTTCAGAGTACCCTTCAATAAAGGGTATTAATTTTGATTTGCCCCACGTTGTTGAAAAGGCACCAACCTACCCAGGTACAACTAATCTGGCTTGTATGAATTAATGGTGCAAGTTATTGCCCTATTTGTACGTTACAAAATATAAATATAGTTTTGGAAATCAATGTTTTATAGCACCAAGAATCAATATATTATAAATTTTATTGAAAACTATATTATAGTTATGCTTGATAGTATGTTGTTAGAATTTTTTAATAAAAAAATGTTCTTAAACCATTATGCTAAAAACACTTGTTAGTAATTTTTATATAAATATTGATAACTGTCCTAAATTACGTGAAGGCATAAAGCACGTTGGAGGAGATATGTACGTAAGTGTACCTCAGGGTGATGCCATATTTCTAAAGGTTAGAAAGCACTTTGAGACCCTTCAAGTTTCTAAAACTATTGACCCAAAATGTGCCACCAGTTCATGCTATCTTTGACTAAATTATGTAGGCTGTACTGCACAATTGGTCGGATGAAGACTGCTTAAGGCTTTTGAGGAATTGTCACAAGGCACTGCCACAAAATGGAAAGGTGATTATTGTCGACTTTATAGTGCCAGAAACACCAAATTCAGATGCATCTAAGATAGTTTCTTTAGTCGACAACATCATGTTTGTCATTGGTGGTAGGGAGAGAACAAGCAACGAATTTGAGGCTTTATCCAAGCTTTCGGGATTTTCAGGATTTGAAGTTGCTGTCTGTGCACTTGGTGCCTTAGGAGTCATGGAATTTCACAAATAAGTGTAGTTTAGATTATTTTGATTTTCGTATATGGTTTAGTTTCAGACAAACAGGTCCTGTAAACTTATGTTCCACTCTTAGCGATGTTTGGTTATATCATATGCTAAGGTTGGGTATATAAGCATAAATAAATTGGCTACGTACAGACATGGGTGCGTGGAGTGTTTTATTTATTTATTTATTTATTTATTTTATAATCTGGGTGTCGATTGTCGAAGGATATTACTACGTCCTTTCGTGGCTATTAATGTAGGGAAGGTTAAAATAAAATAAAAGTTGCTTATTTATGAAATTCATTTGCTACAGTTATGTTGCATTTATGATGAATGTAGGAACAAGTTTATTTGCTAGCGAGAAAAAGGTGTGAAGGAAGGAATTAGCTAGCTGTGGAACGTTAATTAAGATATGCCTTCAATTTTATCATAGGGTAAAGTTATCTAGAATCACTTCTACGAGAGAAAATAAGAAAATAAAATAAAATAAGTTTTATTTATATTTTAGCTTATTTAAATAAGTTAGTTTGTAAAAGTTTTGTACTATTGATTTTTTTAAAATTTTATTTTTAATTTTTGTATAAGCTAGTTTTAATTTATGGAGAAATCTTAAAATGAGACTTTTTTAAAATTAATAATAATATATTTTGATAAAAATAAAATAAAAATATTTCAATAAAAATATTTTTTTAGTGAAAGTTTATCTTTCGAACTTTTAGAGATGCAAAAATATTTATTAAATTATTATAATCAATTTTTTTATTTTTTTTTTATAGATCTTAAAACTAATTCACTTAATCTTCGGTGAGATAGTGTTGATCTTAAATAAAATTTAATTAATTTTAATTTTAAAAAATTTCTTTCAATCAATGCAATACTTAAAATTATTAACATTATTCTATAAGTAATATATCCATTAACTAATACATCTTCTCTATTTTTTATTTTCATTTTCATTAGTGTCTACATTATTAACTTGTTCATTTAATGAACAATCACCTATATTTTTAACTATTTTTTTTATTTGTTTTGTTAAATTTATCTATAACCCCCTTTCGTGACTAAATTAAAGCATCAATTCTTTTCTATTCTATTTTAGTTTTGAATAACCAAACTAATATTTTATAGTTGGCATTTTAAAATGAAGTAATTAATGCTTGAGACTATCAAAGTATATATAAAAAAACAAACAATTATAAATCAAAAATGCAAAGAAAAGGTTAGAACAATCAAACCTAATTGCCAAATGACTGTTTCACACAAAAAGAAATTTTAAGGTGCATTGCAAATCCCTCTTTCCACTAATAAGAAATCATTGATCAACTTTAAATCTAATAATTTTGAAATGTAAATATCCCTTGCACATAACATAAGTTCAAATTGTTAAAATGAACAAAAATATATATAAAGAGTTAATCCACGTTGTGACATCTTCTATCTTGCATGCCATAACACATATTATAGTATAAACTACAATACCTCAATATAAAAAAATAATAAAAACTAAAAATTTATACAAGTAGAAAGAATCACATTTTAACATAAACTAGACTTAAAAAAATGTTAAATTACAAAGAAATTAAAATTAAATTAATCAAATTAAATAACATAAATCAAATCCTAACTAGTCCTAACTAATTCTCCAATGTCAAGTGTCCTATAAGAGCATAACCCTTCTTTGAGAACTAAGCCTTCTCACCAAAATCCTCAACATATAATGTTGAAGATCACCTATAACAACATATAAGAAGAGCAACACATAACAATAGGAGTGAGAAACATCTCACTTTGACTCATGATGTAAGATATAGTAAGGCAGCCAAACACAAACAAGACATATATCAACATAACGTAAACATATCAATCATATAACATATTTCATTCATTCATAATATAACAACTAAATACCACATAACATAAAGATGCATTATGCAATGGATACAAAAAAATGTTATCATGCATGTAGTACTAGTAAAAACATCACATATCACACTTGTGCATTGTTGCTAACGATACACATAGAGCAATCCAGGAGTATATGTCAGGTCACACCTTCTACGCACTCTCACTAGAAGGGTATACTACTAGAGTCTAGTCAGGATATAGCTAAGCCGCACAAGATACATCTCATGCTCACAACGGCGGGACTGAGATTTCCAAATCGAGTTATCTCCTAGGTTGGTTTCCAAGCTTTTACACAAGGAACCTTCCCTGGCGGTGTATTCCATATTGTTTAAAAAATATTTTATGCATATGATGCATGTCAAATAGACTCTAAGCATTACATTTACACAGTCTTATACCATAATACATCACACATCTTATCATATCATGGCTAAGTCTCACTTAGACTTCTCATCATATAACCCTCATAGGATCCATACATATCAATTGCATCAATGTCAAAGCATACATAGCTCACAATATGCCATATCAATTGCATACTCACACTACAACCAATTATTAAGTAATACAATGATTACACAACATCATCCAATACACCTCAAGTAAGAATCATTATGAGAAAGTTTAATAATATGTTAGCACCTTAACCATAGCCACTGAGATCAATGTCACTAAAAAAATTTAGCAACTTTATCACTATTTCACATGAAGACCTTAGATATCGTTGTCATTAATTAGAACACCTTAAGTCATTAACAATCAACTTACATCATAACCTATTAAAAATTGTTTTCTACCATAATGCATCCTTCCTAAACATTAATGATATAAGTACCTCAAACCATTCATAAGATCAAACACTTAAAGGGTAAAGTTATTCATCATCCTCATTAAGAAACTACATTTTCACAACTTAACCTTCTAAGATATCATTGATCCAAATGTCCTATCTAGAGCTATATATATGATATAAAGTTAATCATAATTTTATTAGAAAGATAAGATAATTATTTTCAATTTCTATGTTGACCCCAAGAGCTAATTATGTCATTTATTACCGCAACGTTTCAACTTAAACTTGATAGTTTGACCTCCACTCACTAATTTAATCATAACTTGTTTTATAGACCTCATTTTTAATTGATTCCAACAACATTTGAAAGCTAACATCCAGGGCTACAAATTTTAATTTAACTATTTTTAATAGTCTTAATGAAATAGGGATTTGTGTGTGTGCATACCAATAGAGATTTCTATAAAAGTTTATTTATAGCACTCATATGTATATGAGTCATACTCATCATCTGAGTGCATCCATATGATCTAATTTTAGCATAAGTTACACTACAAGAAATGTTACATATAGTGACATACAAAAAGTGTCACTATAAGTACGAAATATGTATATATAAATCAATTTAACATATACCTACGCACAATTTTAATGTTGATTTTGAATAAGATTTAACAACATATATATTGCGTGTTATTATAGTTTATACCTATTGTGGAGAAAAGATAAATACTAGAAAGGGGGTTGAATAGTGTGTATCAAAAATTCACATTTTTTACATAGTGAAGTAGTAACGCTAGTTAGATGAAGTACAAAGAGAAGTCAAATGGAACATTGGGTACTTTTATATCAAGTAAAACAAAGATTCAAGTCTTCAAACTCCTCCAAACGAAATTATTTCTTGACTTTATCCTCTGTTTTTAGTGTCTGGAAATACATTCTAAGTGTTCAAATTAATTGCACAAATTTTTGTTTCATTTTGTAATCAACTCTAGAACCTTTTCTATAGGAATTTTCCTTTAAAAGCTAGTGTTGAAGTTTTCCTTTATTTTCTTGCTTTTCATCTTTTAATATTCTTTGAGTTTGTCACATCTGTTTACACATGAGTTTATCTTTTCTTAACTGTGCATTTTTATTTTTGGTTATTGGCTTTTTGTCTTTCTTGGTGTGTTGTGCATTCTTGTGGTATAGGTACACTTTCAATGACTTTTCACTCGAAAGATTTGAATAATTTGAGACATATTGGAACCACTTCAAAAGGGGAAGAAGCTTGGAGAGATTGAATGATTGAAATCTAATCCCCAAGCATCCCTTTGGAAGAGGTAAGACCAAGAAAGGTGAAGGTTGATCCAAGGAGGCTCACACTTGAAGACCATTGGGCCTTTTGGTTAGGAGGCTGGAGGAGGCTTCTACAGAAGAGGTTCTTATTAGACCTATGCTCTTCATGAGCATTAAGTATTATTCCTCTTTTTAGTTCGTTAGTCTCCATTGTATATACATTGTATGATACTTGTACATAGTAGTTGCTTGTATAGGTGTATTTTGCCTTTGTATTTGTGAGGCACTTTCTTTCTTTTATTATAGGTTATCCTTTAGGAATTTAGGGTATGTTACTTGGATACCTTTTCTCCATTTGACCTTGTATTAAAGGTCATTCATTTTCATATTTTTCAGTAGTAGAAGTGGGGTGACAAATAGCAAAGTCTGTAGGTGCAACTAGTAATTGGGCCAAAATTGGGCTTAGGCCAAATTTTACATATTGGGCTTATTTTGCTCCATATTTTCCAAGGAATTGATTTAGCTAGGTCTCACCATCATTTGGTGAACCTAACTAAACCAACTCCAAGTTTTTGGATTGGATTAAATATGGGAAAACAAGTGTTGGTTGCATAGCCTAATCCTTTGGCCAAATTACTTAAGAGAACCATGGTTAGCTTAACTTGACCAACCTAGTTGGTTTAGGAGGCTTGTGGAGCAAGCTTCTAACTTAGAAGCTTGGGAAGAAAGCTAAGTTAGAAGCTTGTAGCACAAGCTTCCCAAGTGTGTAAGACAAACCAAGCACTAGTGGAAAAGAGGCTTTTAAAATTGGTTATTTTCAACTTTTAAAATCGGTTCTGTAACCGATTTTAAAAGAGCTGATTTTAAAAGTCTAACTTTTAAAATCGGTTAAATAACCTGTTAGTCCCTTAGCCTCAATTAACTTAAGAGGGGGGTGAATTAAGTTTACTAAATTTCCTCTTATAAAAACTTTTCCAATTACTTCTTAATCAATTTATTTCCTTAGACAAATTTGTATATAAAGAATGAATGATGATGCAAACTACACAATTATAATTAATAACAAGAAATTAAATGTGTAAGGAAAGAAGAATTGCAAACTTGATTTTATACTGGTTCGGCCAATCCTGCCTACATCCAGTCCTCAAGTCTCCCACTTGAGATTTCCACTACTCTTGTAAACCTTACAAGAAAATGAATCCTCCAACACCTCGGAACTCCCTTTCCTTGTGTTGAGATTCAAACACCAACAAGGAGAAAAAC